ATTACCTTTCTCTCTTCCTCGTTTCTTTCCAAAGAGCTATAATGACTGCATGAGCAAGACTGCTGATGTTGGAACTCCACAGCCCTGGATGTGGACTCGACCGTCTGCTCAGCCCCTCTGGAACCGTCTCCTCACCTGTGGAATCAGAGGGCTGGACTAGATGACCGCTGCAGGCCCAGCCGGCTCCAGCCTTCTGACCTTCTCTTGCATCTTCTTCTTGCTGTAAAGTTTCATGCCCACATTGTCTCAAACCTTTCTCTAGGTTTTGCCTCATTTTCCATTCACTTTTGATAGCAACTCATACGTTCTTTCTGGCCCCTCCTAACACGTCTACATTGAGCATCTGGAGTGTAGACTAAGTTAACAAGATGCAGCTTTGGCAGGACACTGCACTTTCCAGTTCTCACGTGTCATGCACTTCAGTTTATTTAAGAACAGATTTTTTGGGAAAAAGAAAACCCAGGTTAATTGCATTGCTTTAAAATTGCGTATATGATGTGTTACCTTTGGTATTGCAAGCAATGTTTGAGGCTGAGCATTTTACACGGGCAAGCTGGAGAGGCTTTCCAGAATGGCACTGTTGACCCCCAGACACAGTGCATAGCAGAGCTGTCTGTAACCCCACAGTCAAAAGCTTTTGAGTTCAAGACATATTGAGGAATACTTCCCATTTGAAACACTATTGAATCTGCTTCCCCTCATCAAATCACCTACTTCTAGGCATGTAAATTTGGCGGGGCCCGGGTTGGTAACTCACATTTGTAATCCCGGCACTTTGCGAGGCTGAAGCAAGAGGATCACTTGAGCAGTTTGAGACCAGCCTGGGTAACGTGGCAACCCATGTTTCCACACACACACACACACACACACACACAAACACAAAATACAAGGATTAGCTGGGCATGGTGGTGTGTCTGTAGTCCCAGCTACTCAGGAGGCTGACGTGAAAGGATCACTTGAGTCCAGGAAGTTGAGGCTGCAGTGAGCCATGATTGTGCCAGTGCACTGCGGTCTGGACCACAGCATGACACTCTTATCTACATAACAAACCTGCACATCCCGCACAGGTACCACGGAGCTTAAGACAAAAGTTTAAAGTTAAAAAATGTTGGCCGGAAGGTGTGGCAGCTTGCTCGGTGCCTGAGTGGCAGTTCTTCCCACACAGGAGTTGGCTCACCAACCTCTCTTAGCTCTGAAAGTTCTGTAATCTCCTGTGAGAGATAAACATGGTCAAGGTTACCCAATTTCCAAGAGGCTTGGCAATTTCTACTGTGTCCCATTGCCTAACACGTGACAGCTCCTCACTGACTTTCGTGAAAGTCTTTATTTCAGTGCTTTATCACAGCATATGAGATAATATTTCAAGCCACACAAACGGGATCACGTGTAAGAGAAACGCCCATTGTGTGCTGGGCAACTGAGGTTGCCTTTCTGAGCTGCTGCATCTGCCCGTGGAACTCTCGCTAGAGTTCCCCAGTGGCTACCCTGACAATGCACCCACGGTGAAGTTCCTCACACCCCGCTACCACCCCAATGTGGACACCCAGGGTAACATATGCCTCGGCATCCTGAAAGACAAGTGCTCTGCCCTGTATGACGTCAGGACCATTCTGCTCTCCATCCAGAGCCTGCTAGGAGAGCCCAACATCGATAGTCCCTTGAACACGCATGCTGCTGAGCTATGGAAAAACCCCACAGCTTTTAAGAAGTACCTGCAAGAGGCTGGGCACGGTGGCTCAAGCCTGTAATCCCAGCACTTTGGGAGGCCGAGGCGGGTAGATCACGAGGTCAAGAGATCGAGACCATCCTGGTCAACATGGTGAAACCCCATCTCTACTAAAAATACAAAAAATTAGCTGGGCATGGTGGCGCATGCCTGTAATCCCAGCTACTCAGGAGGCTGAGGCAGGATAATTGCCTGAACCCGGGAGGCGGAGGTTGTGGTGAGCCGAGATCACGCCATTGCACTCCAGCCTGGGTAACAAGAGCAAAACTCCGTCTCAAAAAAAGTACCTGCAAGAAACCTCCTCAAAGCAGGTCTCCAGCCAGGAGACCTGACCCAGGCTGCTCAGCCTGTCCTTGTGTCATCTTTTTCATTTTTCCTTAGGTGGTCTGTCCTTTTTGTGATTTCTGTATAGGACTCTGTATCTTGAGCTGTGGTATTATTTTTGTTTTGTTTTGTCTTTTTTTTTTTTTTTTTTGAGACGGAGTTTCGCTCTTGTTACCCAGGCTGGAGTGCAATGACATGATCTCGGTTCACCGCAACCTCCGCCTCCTGGGTTCAGGCAATTCTCCTGCCTTAGCCTCCTGAGTAGCTGGGATTACAGGCACGCGCCACCGTGCCCAGCTAATTTTTTGTATTTTTGGTAGAGACGGGGTTTCACCATGTTGACCAGGATGGTCTCGATCTCTTGACCTTGTGATCCACCCGCCTCAGCCTCCCAAAGTGCTGGGATTGCAGGTTTGAGCCACCGCGCCCGGCCTTGTTTTGTCTTTTAAATTAAGCCTCGGTTGAGCCCTTGTGATGTATATTAAATAAATGCATTTTATTTATTTAATCAATAAAGAGGGGTTACATACACGTCCTGGCTCTGTGAGTTTCTTTTGCAAAGAAGTATAAGGCCCATTTGAATAGCAGAAACACTAAGATGTGTGTGTGTGTGTGTGTGTGTGTGTGTGTTGGGGGTGTGTCAAGGAAAAACAACAGACACTTGGGGATCTTGCAGCTAAGTGAGCAGCTTGGGGCAAATCAATATGCTGCTTTAAAATCCGCTGCACTGATTTCACGTTCCTTTTTCTCTCAAACTACCCTCTGTCTTCAACAGACATGTATTTTTCACACCACAGTCTGAAGTGGTTTGTTTTCAGTGACTGTCAACTGGTAGGTATTTGCTCAGCACTTGGGGTGTACCCAGGCAGAGAGCCCTGCGCGTGTGAGGGAGGCCACCCTGCAACCTGGAAAGAGGAGTTACATGTCCACTCCAAAACAGAGGAACCATGTAAACACAGGAAAAAGAGTATCCGTGCTCAACACATCAGCTGGGAGAGGCTTGGTGTGAAGTTCTGAAGCATCTACCTGAAAACTGTCAAAGAATCAAGGGCATAGAAGGAGTCCACAAGCACTCAATGCAGGGCACAACTGCAAAGGCATTTCCTTCCTTTAATTTCAGCCGCTCTCGTTTTTGGAGGGAGCACAGCCAGCGGTGACCTGGGGCCACAGGCTAGGCTGCACTCTGCAAGGTGCCTGTTTGCTAATTAGGAAGAGTCCACTTTCAAATTCAAACAGCACCCGGGAGACCAAGGCCAGTCTTGGCTGCTGCCCAGGCAGGTGTTCTCTTGTCAAAACAAAAACTGCCTCAAAAGTCAATCCCGAGTTTGGGCAAGGAAAGGAGCAGTGACTTAGAGGCAGGGAACCCAAGCTTCAGGCTACTCCTGAACCTTGGGTGGCTGTGGAATTTAGATTACCCTTTTTAAACTTCAATTTCTTCTTTTGATAATTGGGATCAGTGACTCCCCTCCTCAAATGGGTCTAACAGTGTCTGCTCAACCTAATGGCTTAGATGGAAAACTGCTTTATTCAGGGAAGGACTCTGAAATGGTAAGCTGCTTTACTAAGCTGTGACATTTTCTTCCAAGTTGAGAAGTTCTGCTACATGGGAGAAATAAACAGTGCCCGTCTCTGAGTGTTCAGACCACAGGCTTGCAGCTCTGGGGATCTGAAGGAAGAAACATCAGGCATGCCTAGAGGGGCTGCAGACATGAAGACAGGGATGGAATTCAGGTGGATGCAAACCTCAGATGGTACTGGTTCCACTGAGCTGCCCCTCCTTCAAATGCCTCCTTCTGGCACTGCGAATTTCAGTTTCTCTTCAGGCTGCAGAGGCTCCCCAGAAGCCACGTCTCCTGAAAGGGAAATAGGAAGGACCTCTTGTTCCTGGCACCACCTCTAACTCCTGCCCCGTGGAGAACCCACCAGGACACCTGAGCAAGATGTAGGCCTCCGTAGGTCAAATGGTGGGTTACCAGCCAGGAGGGAGGGCTCTAGGAGGGTAGGGAGTCATGGAACCCTGAAGCTTAACCTGCTCTGACCACCGGGGCTAAAGCCTGGGGTGGCAGGACTGGGTCCTCGGCCTAGTGTTGAAATGGGGGCACGCGGTGTTTTTCTATATAACTTTTGACCCCCTTTCTGATACATCTTTTTCTTCATGGTTGATACTGTATGAAATCTAGAATGAAAACACCACCTCCTCCCCTCCTAGATCGCGGACTGTCTTAACCACCGCCCTAGTTTCCTTCAGGTCCAACTGCTGCAGTCCCGCCATGTGCCAACAACAGGCTGGCTCAGGGCTGAGGGGGTCTCTGGAGTCTGAACCCCGCGCTCGCTTGCTCCTCCCTGGCTTAGCCGGTCAGGACTTGAACATTCGCCGGACATAAACATTGGGTCATTTTGAACCTCAAAGCCGAACCGGAGCCTGGGGAGGCCTTTAGGACCGAGGGGAGCCATCGTTTCCTCCTGTCCTCCGAGGCCCCCGCAGCTATCCCCTGCCCGCGCCTCTGTGGCCCTCACTTTGTCAGACACCGGCCCCGGGCCACCCTCCAGACGCAATCCCCTGCTAGAGCCTCCCTGGTCTGGGGCAAAGTTGGTGGCCGCCTTCGCGCGGGCCGCGCCCTCCTCTTCGCTGCCATCCTCCCCCGGGGCCCGCGCCCGCTGCCTCCAGCACGCGCCTCCGCAGGCCGGCAAGTGAAGTGGAGCGGCTCTCCCGGGGGCGCCCCTTGCCCAGACGGCCGGCCCGGCGTGCGCGACGGGAGTCTCCCCGCACTCCCTCCTCTCCCCGGGGCCGAGAGGACTGGGCTCCGCCCCGGCGCCGCAGCTCCAGGCTCTCTGCCGCTGGGCTGCCGCCGGTGCCCCGCGCCCGGCGCGCGGGGCAGCCGGGGGCGCTGGCGGCGAGCGCAGGGCGGGGGGAGAGGAGCGGCGCGGAGGGGAGGGCAGAGGAGGAGAGAGCCTGGGAGCGGGGGAGCAGAGGCGGGCGCCGCACCGCCCCGCACGCTCGCTCGCTCCGGAGACTCGCGGGCGGCCGCTTGGGCGCACTAGCCGGGTCACCTTGTCCCGGAGGTAAGTCCCGGCTTGCCCGCCGCGGGAGCGGGCGGAGAGACCCGCAAGGGCGGGGGCGCGGCGGGGTTCCGCGAGCTGACGGCGGGAGCGGGAGGCGGCCCCGGCGCGGGCGGGTGTCCTGGTCCTAGCTCCGCCTCGGAGCGCGCAGACCCGGCGGCGGTGTGGCGCCCGCGGTAAGTCCGGGTGGTCGCCGCGACGAGCCGTGGGAGACACCGGTCGCTGGGCGGGAGGGGGAGCTGAGCAGCGGAGAGGATGCCGAGGAAGGGGTCGGCGCCGGCCCGGGCTGCACCTTGGCGCCTTGCCTCCCCGGGAGACGCGAAGGGGCTGCTGTGCGAAGTCGATGGGAGCTGGCGAGACCGAGAACTGGGAGCGTAGCGGAGCCAGGCTGCCCAGCAGGGCCGTGGGGCAGCACGGAGGGCCAGGGCTCTACGGGTTCGGGCTGCCCCCCGGAGTGATCCGAAGGATACCAGCCAGGGCTGGTGAGCCGGGCGTCCGCAGAGCTGGGGACCTAGGTCTGTTTGGGACTAGGAAGGGAAACAGACTAATCCTCCGAACGGAGCGCCAGATACGGTGCTAGCGCGCTTGGGATGGGGAATCCCGTCGGGCGACCTGGGCGGAAGCAGGGACCCCTGGAGCCCCTTGCCTCCAGCCAGGACAAGACTTGCCTTCGAAAGCTGCCTGGCCCCTGGAAGCCGCAACAGCCTGCTGCCCTAGAAGCCACAGCCCTGGCGCCGAGAAGGGAGAGCTCATACGCTTTTCTGATTCCAATTTTAATCTCGCCTTTTCCTAGTCGCGATTTCTGCCTCTTCCTGTGCGTTCTCTGAGCAGTGGGGAGGAAGGAATGGCTCAATGGAGGAGTTGAGCACTTTCCAGGGGGAAGGGACTTTGGTCGCTGTGCGCTTTCTGCAAGACACTAGTAGAGTGGCTCCGGCAGCCGAGCTTTGGGGAGGTGGCCAGAGGGGCCGCTTGGCATCTCTGAAAGACAAGAGTAAGGAGTCTTCCGGTAGTCCTGTTTTCCTCTGAGGGTTTCCTTGCACGCAGAGGCTTGGGCGCTTGGCACCCAGACTTCAGGTGCGCGCAGTCCTCCTGCGACGTCAGATTCGCTGGCGCCGCGGTGCTTCTGGCTCGGACTAATGCCTGCGCCTTCCCCGGCCGCGTCCTGGTGTTTAGCGCAGCAGATACCGGCCGGAGGCTTGGCTGGTTGGGGATACGGTGGAGGAGGGGGACTGGGCATTACTCAGTGGCTCCGTTTTCTGGTTAGAATCAGTTGGTGGGGGTGTGCGCGCGCGTCTGTGTATTTGTCGGTCCCCTCCTACAGCCCAGCGTGTTTGGTCTGAATCCAAAGAAGGACGTGGTGTGTGTGCTGAGTTGACCTGCAGCCTGTGGGGTGGGCAACCTCCTAACAGCCCCCGGAGCCAGCCGACTTCTCCGTGTCAGGCTGCGACCTCAGGGGCAGCCGCGCCGGGGTTCGGATGCGTAGCGAAATCCTGGCAGCAGCCCGAAGTGAAAAGGAGCAGCCAGGAGGTGGGCGGCAGGCAGTCTGATGTCCATTCTGGCGCGGACAGGAAGAAACTGAAGTCGAATTTTAAGATGAATTGCGTGCTCTATGTTTGGCGGTGGTGTGGCCCGTCCTTTTGGAGATTCACACCACAGGTGTGGGGCCTGTAGGCCCTCAGGAAGCGCCCTCTCCTTCTTCCTCCGTCCCCTCTCCACCACCCGCCCCTTGGCAAGGAGCAAGCCTGACTCGGTAGCTGATCGGTGCCCTCTCTCACCCTGCCCCGTTTCCTGCAAGAAAACGGAATTTTCATAATCAAGAGGCCCTGTTAAAAAAAAAAAAAGAAAGAAAAGAAATGGATAAACCTATTTTTAAACTTATTATGCAAAATTTCAGTAGTACCCAGTGGCAGACAGAAAATAGTGCACCGAAGCTGTGTGTACCCCCCACCCAGTCACCATCTGCAGTTACCTTTTGGAGGCCTCAGAGTTTTGGAGGCCTGGTTTTATTAAGTATTTTAAAACTCATTCCAAAATGCTAAATATTGGATGGTATGTTAATTAGCTCCGTTCACATTGTGAACGCACACATTTTGTGTTCATATCACGGCATCACTTTGTACCCCATAAAGATATACAACTATCATTTGCTAATATCTGATAAAATAAACTAATTCATTAAAAATACTAAATTACATTGATATAAACTTCAAAGAATAAAGCATTCCAGGCTCACTTCACCTCCAAACACATCCCTCTGTATCTCCAGCTGATGACGTTTCATTTTATACTCACCTATCAGAAATGTCTGTTTTTAATAACCCATTAGAGTATAGGTGATATTAAAATAAAATGAAGGCCCCCCATTCCCACTTTAGGATAGAAAAGGAAAACCTGCTGACTTTCCTTGAGACGTACAGGGGCGAGATACTGAAGAAGGAAAGACAAGTCCAGATCCTGGGAAGAGACATGTTAGCAGTAGGACCAGACTTCTCTGAATTCATGCAGGGCAGAAACTCAATTCCGGTTGAGCCATGATAGACAAGATTTTTTTTTTTTAGTAAAAAAACTTTAAAACTCAATTCGTAAATTATAAGCAAGCAATTTCTTCCACATTTAGCATTGAGAGAAATTAAAGGTGCCCTGCCAGACTTCACTCATCTTTCTCATTAATATTAAATCATATTTTCTAGGGAGTTGCTATTATCAGAGAATAGAAAGTGACTTTCTTATGCAAGTTTTCTATCTGAGGCACCAGTCTGTGCTATTCTGAGGTTCATGGAGATTACTGAACATTTCATCGTTTATTAGAAAATGTGTGGTCATCCTCCAGAGCTCTGCCCTCTGAAGAGCTCTCTGCTTGCTGAGATGTGCCGTAGACGTCCAGTGTGACTTCTACTGGCTCGAGAGGCACAGCACTCAAGGAGGTGGTGGAGGTGGCAGGAGGGAACACCCTCCCTCCACCAGCCCCTCCCATCCTGCACACCTCTGTGCTTTCCTTTATATAAAAGCAGTTCCTAAAAATTGTCAGTGACATTCTCAGAGGAGTCAGTCAGACCTTTGAATACCTTTATAAAGTGCACTATTTAAAGGCATCCTTAGTTAACCTTTTGTGAGGTGAATAACCGTCTTGTAGGTGAGCAGTTTTATGTCCTCTCACCCACCCCCAAATAAAACCTTGACTTTCCATGACCCTGGCTTGGCCCTGTATGCCTCACCTTGGCCTTTCAGACCCCCATGCACAGTGGAAAAGGCAGGTTCCACCTCAGAGTGAATGTACTGCTGTGGCGGTACATAGTTTGAACAGATGTCATGTTATCAGCAAAATTATTTGAATGTGTGGGTAAAGGTGGCAAGGACTGAAGTATGGGGTGTTTATTTGACAGCCCTAGCAAAACGGTGGGGATAAATGACTAGCAAAATGGCCTGTTTTATCGGTGGAAAGCTGCGTAAGGTCATTTTGGGGCAGTGCATTGACAGAAGTTTTTGGAGCCGTAGCACTTGAGCCGGCATCACTATGCTAGAGACGTTGTGTCACAATCTCTAAAAAGCAGAACTATGCACACATTAGTGATAGGCTGACCATGTCTCTAACCATGTCACCAGAATTAAAATCACAAAGTTGGCAGCTGGAGGTTTGAATAAATGTGTTTTTTCAGCATTCTCTGTCAAGATGCCCATTTTGAATGATTCCTCAGAGTTCCTAAACTTGTGTTGGAAGAGGAGCTGCAGTAACCAGGGTAGCAGCTCCAGTTCAGTGCCCTTGGTTGCTTTGCTTACGTCCAGGCAGCATATTGGATTGTGCAGCGAGTGGAGGAGGGGCGCATCGGGGAGACAGGCTTGCAGAGTGTCCCCGGCTCCCTCCTTCCCCTTGGGCCTTTCCCGAGTGCCAGGAGCAGACATAAGCTCCGGATTCTGGAAGGTTCCATTTGTTTTCTCAGAATGCCATGTGAATATCAACTTTACCCAGAGAAACACTGAGACGATGAAGAGTCCTCAATCCAGCGTCTTTTTCATTTAGCAAACTGAGACCACCATAAACCCTTAGTTTTCAAGATCCTGGAAGGAATATGGTTGAAAAGAAACAATCTCAGCAAAGTGATGTGGTTTGTCTAAGATGATTCAACTAGCAAGCAGCAGAGCCCAGAGTCTGGAGCCAACCACCTGTGCTCGGCAAGGGTGAGGATCCGGACGGTGTGTTTGCACTGGCTTGCAGTGGGCAGGCACATGCCCGGGAATGTGCTTAGGGTGATTACGTAGCCCTGTTGGCTCAGAATTTATAGCAATGTCTAGGGAAGGCACGTGAGAAATAGCTTAGGATGTTTATCTTTCACAACTAAATTGACATTCATACTACATTATAAAACTTATATGATGCATTCTCTCAGATGGAAACATTTTTAATACAGATTACCAACAAACCACCACCCTCTGTCTATAATACGTGATGATTCAAGATGGAAGCATGGTTCATATGACAAGATCTAAATCATCCTAAACTATTGTATGATAAATTACCAGAAACAATTCATTTAAATCCTGGGTGGCATTTGGAGATGGAGTCTGCAGGAGAGAGTTTAAAAACTGGGTCTTTCAAAATGCGCTCACTTAGGTTAAATTTCTATTTTGAACAACTTTTATGTCTCCGAGTAGTTCCGTTGCAATCTGTCACTTGACCTCACTGGGCAGGCACTTTTAGATGCTGCCTCCATCTCTTTCTTTCTCACCTTTTCTCTCTTCCAGAAAACTTGAGTGCCCAAAACAAAACTAAGAAGCAAACACATTTCATATCGTTTGAACCATGAAAGTTTTATTCCGTTGCCTCAACTTTAAACTACAGATCTTTCTGAAAGGGATGCAGTAATTTTACCTCAAGTACATTTGGAACCACCCCTCCACGCCCCTGCTTGTGGTTCTGAGGACAAATAAATGAAATGTCCCAGAAACTGATTCTTCTGTCGTGCATGTGACAGGCAGCTTTTTACTGCTTCCTGTGATCTTGGTCC